CGCAAAGTTTCACATAATCCTCATCCACGCTTTCCTTTTTGGCTAGAGCCAAAGCTCGGGAATGGATGATGTCTTTCATTGCCTTGTCCTTCCGAGCTATTCGCGCTCCAACCTCATAGACTTTTTGCAAACCCTTGAAGATGTGAAGAAAGAAAAGACTTAGAGAAATTTCAAAAGAAAAAAAGCTTAAGAGAAGTCCGAGTCAAGACTTACCAAAACCATATGTTGGATTGTCTGACGAGACACTTCATCGTCAGTGAGAGCTTCATTCATTGCCAGATCCCTAGGCAAAATCACTCATTGGGAAATCCCTACTGCAATATTTAAATCTTCAATTGCAGAGTCCTTGGCAGTGATTTCCTCTTTTTTGCTCTAAGGATTGGTCGAAATGGAGGATTGGAAGGCTTGGCAAGAAAGCTTGCTTCGGACTCGGCAGTCCTTTGCCTTTTAGGGGCTAGGTCTTCGGCGAGCTCAAAAATTGAATCATCTTCTTGAATAGGGGAGAGGACAAGTTTTGAAGGATCCATTTCAACATGAACAGAAGTTTTAGCAACTCGAGCAAAATCCGCTTGGTTATCCAAAGGCAAGCCAGCGTCATTGGAAAGAAGCACCTCAGGAAGGGCCTCGACAATCTGTTCGTCAAGAATAGAGATCGGAGCAGTTGAGGCAAGTGGAGTCTGTTCGATGGGAAGAGTCGGCTCAGCTATTGACAAAAAGTCTAAAACATTTCTTACAGACCTTCGTCCAGAGGCTGCTAGAGGTCCCTTTTTTCCTCGGGGTGTCTTCTCTCGAGCAGATTATATTGCCTCCCGATTTGCTGCAAGGGTCGCATTAGGTCGGTTCAGCACAACAATAAAGGACGTATAGTTTGGTCTGTATCCGAGCAACGTATGCGTAGCACGGTAGAATAGGGACTCGTTGAAATCCCAAACCTTCTGGAGCTGGTCCAACTTAACAGAAGATTCGGGGATTTTGCCTTTCACCATATCCCCTACACAAGCGATATATCAGATACAAGAAAAGAGAAAACAACAAGTGTTTTTAACGAAAAAAAAGGTTCAAATACCTGGTGCGCCTTCTTCATAGGGGCAACGATAAGAGGGTGAAGCATCACCAGGGTACTCCCAATTCTCAGAAACGAACAAAATGTCATTTTCATGACCTTTGTTCGAATTTGGAAGATGGGTGACCAGATAACAGTCCTTCTTTCTCACCGAAAGATAATAGCTATCTCCAGCAGCTTGATGATATAGTAATACAGGATATCCCATAAACCTAGACTCAGACCTAAGATTTTGTTTAAAGCAAACACCCCCATGACTATCCTAAAGAAATTGAGGCAGCATTGGAGGGGACAGAGTTTAGTGGTAGAAAGAACCCAAAGAAGAAGTGGATCGAGGGGAAAATGGATTTCACCCTCAGTAATGGCTCGAGTGGGGATGAGGATTCTCTCTCTGGTCCCAATCAGTGGCTCATCTTTCCCTGCAACTTTAACCTTGATGTCGTCTAGAATGTTATACTTGGCTTTGAAAGCAGGAACTTTTGATGGAGTAAGATGAGTCATGAAGAAGATGAAATGCAGATGAAGAAGAACATGGAGAGAAGAGGATAAGAAGCTGAAAGTTTGGCAGCAGAAAAGCAAAAATGCGAAGGAAGACGGTTATAAAGAAAGAGGAATTTTAAAGGGCAACATTTAAATGCTCTGAATGTGCCACCAAAACGAAAAGGCATGTTACGAAGTACAAGTGATGATGAAAAACGTGTGTCAGATGTTTTCTGGGGGCAAATAAAGGGGTTAAACCTCATAATTACACGTGACACAACATTAAATGTGCTCACGTGATGTTGATAAGACCAGACACGTGATGAAGAATTTTTTTAGTAAGGGCTTTCTAACCAAGCCGAGCTAATTAGAGGATCGGCAATATATTGGTTCTCTTTGTGACCGGACTCATCAATCTGTTCGGTTAAGCAATGAAAGAGCTTGGCTTGTGCCAAGCCGAGTCCAGTAAAGTATTCATCAAGGCAATTGAAGAAATCGGTTTGTGCCAAACCAAATCCCTTAATCTATTTGGCAAATATCAAGTGTGCTTGGCATTTGATATGTCCGAGTTGTTTATGATAAATAGAAGGATAAAGGTATGCCTATAACTTAGGCAATCAGATAAATGAATCAACGAAATTATAGATATCAGGATGAATTGTTGGAAAAATGTCAGTAACTTCCCAAACTGAAAGACTGAATTGAAGGAAGGTGTGCCACGTTGAACCTAAATTCATGAAAATCCTAAGGGGATAACGATCTATAAATACCAAGAGGAGCCAAAGTGAAAGGTACGCTAAACCTTCCTTGTCTTCTTCCATTCGTTTGATTATCCTTACTGACTTAAGAATCAGAGTGTCTTCGATCGAATCACTTCGATCTTGGGCAGTGTGTTGGTTTTGCAGGCAGGGGAAGATTGGAAGATCACATTCAAAACCCCATAACCATTTCAATTCCAATAAGAGGTAATCTCAATTTTTTGCCTTTTACATTGGGTATATGTTTACTTGAATTAAATATTATCTCAGATTTATAAAACTTTTTTTTTCATGTATCATGCTCAACTATAGAATTTTTGAAAAGTTTGTATATTTTCCCAATTCGTTGTTCTAACTCTAAGAAAAATAGTAAAAAAATAATTAAAGTTCTATTTTGTTTCTATAATTTTATAATTGAAAGTGATTTTTTAGTGATGTTGAAAAATTAAATTTTTTAAAACTAATTTGATTAAGATTCCACTTATAAATTATTGAATAAAATAAAAATAATTATCAATGTACCAATCGTTTTGAAAATTTACTGTATTTAGATTTAGTTAATTCAATTGAGATAAAATTTAATATAAAACACTATAATATATATTATAAAGTATATTAAAATTTAAAAATATTCAAGTTTCACATAAAATGTTGACACAGTTTAAAATGTTTATTGTGACTAAACAATCATGTAAAATTATATATACATTATTTTTTATCTTAAAAATGAAATAGTTAAACATTTTGATAAAATAAAATAAAATATACATATGTAGTCATAATATTATCTTTATAAATGAAATGAGTAATATTATATTGATGGAGCTTTTGAACGTTTTTTGAATATTTTGTTAAAACTTATAATAATGCATATATTTTTTAAGAGTAATATAATCAATCAAAAAGTTTCATAAATACATAAATAAATAATTAATTTGATTAAAATTTCACTTATAAATTATTGAATAAAATAAAAATAATTATCAATAGACAAATTATAATGGAACCTTACTGTATTTAAGATTATCTAGGTCAATTGAGATAAAATTTAATGTACCATGCTATAATATATATTATAAAGCACAATTTTAAACAAAAAATCAAGTTTTCACATAAAATCTTAATATAGTCTAAAGTAACACAATCGAAACTAATTCGATGGAGGGCATTTAATTAAAAAATGTCTCACTCCTTCGGGAAAAAGAAAAAAAAAATACTTTATCAAATTTACATTTGTAGCTCCTTTACTAATAATTTTCACAGGCCAGACAAAAACAAATCTTAACAAGCCTATAAAGTTATTGACAATTTACTTTCTAGCATGTATTTTTTAAGAGTAATATAGTTAATCAATACGTTTCATCAAAATTGACATTTATACATAGGAAATATATAATTAAAAATGATTTTAGATATAATTTGGAAATTTAAATGCATAAAGATATAATGGTAATTTAGATATTAAGTGGGGAAGGACATAATGACCTTTTTAATTTTTATGAGGGTAAAATAGTGTATTAAAAGTTTTTCATGTTAAAGTACAATTTTTAGTAGTGTAGATAGATATAGATAGATGTATAGGTATATCATAATGGATTTGCATCCCTATCATTGATCAAATTTCCTTTCTAGGTTTATCTCCCATTATTTTTAGTTGCTTATGTGATAGTAACCATTTTAATATGTTGAAGATCAATTTCTTATACTAGGCACCAAGCCTAAAAAATACTAATTAGCCGCATCAATTTTGTTGGTACCACATCATGTTTTTATTCATGTTGAACTGTGAAATATGAAGGGTCCTAGACTAAAAAATAATCACATACCACATTGCTTGAAACATTGATTGCGTGTTGTTTGGGGCTTCTATCTTATATCAAACTAGAGGTAATCTGTACCTGAAGGCATGTATAATTTGAATAGTTTTGATAGGGATATTGGTGGCCGTTGGATGAGTCTATTTGAAACCGTCAAATTGATTTATTGAAGTCTATCCTATTTTATATTATAGAAATTCAAAAAAAAAAATTCGAGTCAAGGTTAATGGTGCCACTTTTTTATAAGTGACATAAAAAACTATCTGAAAGTTAAAATATATAACTCATTTTATTGGCTAATATTTTTTTTTTGACATTTACTAGGACCTATGCTTTGTTCAGTGACTATGGTGTGACGTTGCACAAATCATTTTTACTTTTTTTTTTCTCTCTAAATTGCATGTGATGGTTTGGTTTTCATTTGCTACAAGAAGTATTAGTTATTAATTATTTTTTGACCTGGTGAAATTCATGGGGCCCAAACACTAGAGGTAGTGATGGCTTCTTAATTTTCTTTTTCTTTTTCTTAATTAGGTTTGGAGGGTTGGTGATCTGATGGGAGGGACATTAATAACCATAAAGCAGTGGTGGCTTGAGTTGGTTTGTGAAGTTTTACCATATGGGTCTTTGAGTTTATGCAGGGCAATTATGAGTTTGTTTGAAGGTAAAACTTAAAAGATTATTCTCGATGGAGCTACTCTTTTTTGCTTGTTCTATTACAAAAACAGGGGGAAACATGTACAAAGTGTATTCAAATGGACGGATGATCTTCTAGACAGTTGGAAAGAAGATCCTCCATCCCATTGCAAAAAGAATAAAATAATATTTCAAAAAAGGATCAAACAAAAGGTATAAAGCCAGTGTACAACAACAAAAAAACAGGAGCCATAGTCCAGCAACAGTCCAACAGGACCATCCAGCGCCAAAAACCAGCACAAACAACAATAACAAAATCAAGCAAACAGTCGCCGATCAGTAGTCAAACTGAACAGGAAAATGAGACACAAGCAATACATCACAGACGACCCCAACAGTTCAACAAAGGCACCCAAGGCAAAAAACTTCTCAGCCAAAGCAAAACACATGAGCACATCAAGAAGAGAGACATGCCTCACCCTTAAAACATAGCACCAGGAACAAGAAAACCCTCAAGGAGGATAAAAAATATCCACGGCAAGGCCCATTGTTTTTGCAACCAAAGATTATGAACAATTTTTTTAATAACCCCTGCTCAAGTGAAGCTTAAATCTAATGCAATTCCACATCGTTAGAAATAGTCACCACATCTTATAGTCATTTTTGAAAATCCTACCATTTCTTTCTCTCCAAATCACATAGACGAGTTGCAAGGATAAGCCTCCAAATCATTTTTCCAAGTCCTTTCCCCTTAGCATTTATAGCAAACCAATTAACTAGATTCCTCCAATCCAAGCTAGGTCCTTGGACATTGTGTTTGCTTTGCAAAAATAACCAAATCCTCTTTGTAATAGAACACGCAAAAAACAGGTGGCCATGACTTTCAGTCACCTCTCTACAAAAACTCATTGCGCTCTTTGAAGAATTCCATAAGAAATTAATTTATCTTGGGTAGTAAGCCTCTCTTGTACTGCTACCCAAAGAATAAAGCTATACTTGAGCACTGCTCCAGAGAACCATACAATGTTATGCCAGTTTTGAATTTGCTCTTTATTTTTGAGTTGTTCCCAAGTAGTATTGGTGCTAAACTCAAGTGTGGAGGAAGGTAACCATTGTAAGGTGTCCTCATTATCAGGATTTGGTTTCATTTCAGTTGGGATACCTCTTTTCAACTCCAAAAGGTCCACATTATCAGCCAAAGCCCAAGCCCATTCCCTCCCATCAATAATATTGCATACCTTAGCATCCATCCCCAGTCTAGAGGCTCTCAAAACCATATCCCCCCTATTATGATAAATTGGCCCTTCAGGATGCAAGGGTCCAATCAAAGAAATGTTGTGTTTTTTATTACCAATTTTATAGTTAATAAAGGGCTTAAAAACATCCCTCAGGCTCAGATCCTCCTCCCACTCCCATGAGGAGTTCGTAGGAATCTTAACGGAC